GGAAGGCTCAACATATGCAAATCTGTAAATGCAATACACCACATCAACAGAGCTCAAAACAAAAAACACATGATCATCTCAATAGACACAGAAAAAGTGTTTGACAAAGTCCAACACTCGTTCATGATTAAAAAAAAAAAGACCTACAGAAAATCAGAATAGAAGGCCTATATCTCAATCTAATAAAAGCCATCTGTGAGAAACCAACAGCCAACATCATTCTAAATGGAGAAAACTGAAAGCTTTTAATCTAAAATCAGGTACAAGACAAGGATGTCCACTATCACCACTCCTGTTCAATATGTTCTGGAAACATTAGCCAGAGCCATTAGATAAGAGAACAAAAAGGTATAAGAATTGGAAAGGAAGAAGTTAAATTATTATTATTGGCAGGTAACATGATACTCCACATGGAAGAACCAAAAAACTCCTAGAATTAGTAAACAAATTCAGTAGCATAGCAGGACACAAAGTCAACACCCAAAAATTGATAGCATTCCTCTTCACAAACAACAAACTCACTGAGAAATTAGAGAAACAACACCCTTCATTCACCATAGCATCCAAAAAAAAAAAGAAAGAAAAGGTACTTAAGAATTAATCTAACAATGGAAGTAAGAAGACCTATATAATGAAAATTAAAATACTGCTTTTATTTTTTCCTTACAGAACTGGGGATTGCACTCAGACACTCAGACCCTTGCACTTGCCAGGCAAGTGCTTATTCTACTGAGCCATCTCCCCAGTCCCTAAAATACTCTTAAAAAAGGGATTGAAGGCAAATGAAAAGATATTTGTTGCTTGTGGATAGGAAGAACCAACATCGTGAAAATGGCCACACTCCCAAAACTGTAAAACAGATGTAATGCGATCCCTATCAAAATACCATTAGCATACCTCACATCTAGGGAAAACATCTCTAAAATTTATTTGAAACCAGAAAACACCTAGGATAGCAGCAGCAATCCTGCCTGATAAAGGCAATGAAGAAGGCACTACAATCCCTGACTTGAAATTATACTACAAAGCTACTGTGATAAAATCATCAAAGTACTGGCAAAAAAAATAGACCTGACGATCAGTTGAATAGATTAGAAGATGCCGAAGCAACTACAAACACTCTCAGCCACCTTATCTATCACAAAGGGGCCAAACATGTTCACTGGAAAAAGCCTCTTTAACAAATAGTGCTGGAAAAACTGTGCTGAAAACTAAAACTAGATCCAGGTCTATTGTCATCCACTAAACTAAAGTCAAAATGAATTAAAGATCTAAATATTAAAATAGAAGTACTAAATCTACTGGAAGAGAAAGTAGGTGGAAATCTTGAAGACCTATGTGTAGGCAGAGAGTTTATGATCAAAAACCAAACTACATGGGAAATACTACAAAGAATCAACAGCTGGTATCGCATCTTATTGAGAATTTTTTGCATGTCAAAAGAAATCACCATGAGTGATAAGACAATCCACAAGTTGCAAAAAAAATCTTAAGCAATAGTCACTTGGACAAAGGACTTCTATCTAGAATATACAAAGAACTAAGAAAAGTCAGGCCCCAAAAATCCAAAGGGCCGATCCAAAGATGAACATCTGAGATGAATACACACTTGTCATAGCAAGAAACAGAAATGGCAAATAAATATATTAAAAAATGTTCTATAACACTGCTCATCTGAGAAATGCAAATTATAACAACACTGAGATTCCATCCCAGTCCAGAGGCTATCATAAACAAATTAACTAATAACAAATGCTGGAGAGGCTGTGGGGGAAAAAAAACACTTTTTCACTGTTGGTAGGAGTGTAGATTGGTACA